TGTTCATCTTATTTTATACCCATAAAGTGGGGCAAAAGTTTGGGGACAACAATATTTTCGAGTTTCATTCGGAACCACGATAGCTGGACAAAAGACAAAAACTGATTTGAAGAGCTAAAAATATTTCCTTTGAGAGGAGATGCATATGAAATCAATCATCAACATTGCTGGAAATCTGAACTTTAGAACACTCTAGATTTAGAATCACTCTACTTTCTGCTCTTTTTCTGCTAATCTTGCTGATTTTGCTGCAGAGGAATCTTTCGTAGATGAAAAAGCAATTTTCAAAAAGTTTCTTTTCTTCTACTTTGAGACTTACGAAATTAGAGTTTTCTAAATCCTGGTGTTCTAAAGTCCAGATTTCCAGCAATGTTGATGATTGATTTCATATGCACCTCTTCTTATCGGACATATTTTTAGCTCTCTACCTTTTGTCCAGCTATCGTGGTTTCGAGTAAACTCGAAAATACTTTTGCGGCTAAACTGTTTGCTTCCACTTTATTCGCAAGCGCTCCCTAGTGTGACAAATAAACAGACAGCTCGATCCAAAAACCTAGTATAAGAAACATATATATGCAACAGTAAGATAAAAGGAAAAAATGTTTTTTTTAGCATCAAAAAATAAGACTTTTGAGCACTAAATTAGCAACTCAAAGTAATCACTCAAACTCAACGGGTTGATGAAACAGGTAAACTATGTCATATAAAGGACTAATTTTTGATTAATATAAAAGACCAAGTTTTGAACGTCATGAAAACACTATGAAGTTAAGGCAATAGTACAGCAACATCAAGTATCGAAATTATATTTATGTACGCATTCGGTTGGCTTAGCCATATTGTTTAAAATTTATGCAATAAGTGATAAAATTCGTTGTAAACTTTTAGGTAAACGACGAGGAAGAGGTCGATCAAAAAAGGTTCGATCTGCTTTGGTGTTATAAAGCGGTTGTTGTTTATATCTAATTGTTGTTCTCTGTATCCATTATGTTAAACATGATGAACTAACACCATCTTTATAATTCATCTGGTATCTAAATGCTGTTGTTTCTTGTAAAAATATATTTTATTTTTTGGTGCTCATTTATCTTATTTTCAGTGCTCATTTGACATGTAATTAATTTGATGCTCACAAGTCTTCTTTTTCCGTGCTCATTTATCTTATAACTGATTTGATGCTAAAAAGTCTGATTTTTTGGTGTTCAAAGTAAATACTGTCCAAGATAAAATGTGATAAATACTACGGCTAAATGGAAAAATATTTGCATATGTATTAACTGCGCAATCGTTAATATAAAGGAGAAAAAGAAGGACAGAAAGAATGAAATTAATATTAGCTGCTGTTTTAATTACTATACTTATGACATCAGAGCAATTTTTTGTCGAACCTTCGTAATTAATTTTTCCATCTTTATCCAAATCAGCAACTCTTATCATGTCATCTAGTTCTTCCCTTGTCACTTTTTCACCATAGACTGACTTCATCACCGTTCTACAAATATAGTAGCATTTACACACATGTCTTAATCGAAAACATTCGTCATACAGCAACATACCGTAATTCTGAGCGCGAAATGAACCCATCGTTATTTTTATCAAATGTTTTAAATACTTCCAAGGAATCATTTGTGGTTATCATTCGATTCGACGGCTACGAAAAAAGTATGTAAGCCAAAATCAGAAACTTTACGTGCTTTATGTGTCTAAAGGTTAATCTGTCACGGTTCAGTGACTTTTTTTCGTCCAGACAGGTAGAAAGAACGGTATGGTTATTTATAAAGAATGTTTTACCAGCTAAAAAGGTTTTGTGCTTACATAAGTAGCAGCTCCCCTTCTATGGTACGACACACGTAGATATATTAAATGAACAAGCTTTGTTAATCCCTTTTGGGTAGATGGTATAAACGCTTTTTTGATGTAATTCGTTCTTCAATCCATATGACAGAATTCATTCTTTTTCTTGTTTGTGACGAAACCACCCTTTCTTGTCGCGATTCCGTCTCGGTCTCGGGAAATTTGTTTCGCCCTTTTGAAGTCTAAAACATATTATCGTCTTTCTATTATTCACCTGACAAGTCGCGTCTAACAAAACGTTTATTTATGCACATGCGCGTATTCAAATTATGCCTGACACGCAATTATTTTAATTATTTTTAATATAAATAATAATTTAACAGGCAAAAAAAGCAACAAAACGCGTCTTTAAATTTCTTTCATGTTACAAAAACTTAAAATCTCAGTTTTAAGGATGCGTGTAACGTTTGATTTTTCAACGTGAAATTTGACAAAAACTAAAGCGGTCGGATACGATAGATATATATATCAATTGACTTATTTTTGATCCTGACTCCGAATATGATATTTTTATTGCACAAAAGTTGAGTTCTGATGGAGAAAATTGAGAATTACGAGCAGAGATCTGACTTTTTCGCCTTAGATTTAGATAAAATGACTTTTCTCAGCATGTATGTATAATTTTCTAACAGGAAAATATCTTTTTATAATAACGAATCTTGTTTAAAATATATGCATTTTATTCAGTTTTGAATAAACACCCTTACAGCCCATCAAAATTTTTTGCATCCTTTCTTGCTTCTTATCTTACCCTACTGCAGAAAAAAGAAAGATAGAAATGAACATTTCTATCTTTCTTTTTTCTGCAGTAGGGTCTCATTTTTCCAATTATGATTTTCGGAAACACACGATTATTTTTTTCGCGAAAGTTTATTCCATTGACTGTAAGTCTATGGTCATACGAAAAAAAGTTGGTCATGTGAAAAAGTACAAAGTGTTTGTGTGTTTGTGTGTTTGTGTGTTTGTGTGTTTGTCCGTACAGAGGTGTGACGGACGTAAGCACACACGGTGACGGACGTACATACATAAAGTCATGTGGCAGTGTGACGGACGTACATACATATAGTGACCAGTGAGTGTGACGGACGTACATACATATAGTCATGTGGCAGTGTGACGGACGTACATACATATGGTCATGTGGCAGTGTGACGGACGTACATACATATAGTCATGTGGCAGTGTGACGAACGTACATACATATAGTCATGTGGCAGTGTGACGGACGTACATATACAGAATCACTAATGAGTGTCATTGACATTGGTGCACAGAGGTGCTTGCGTTCGAGCTTTATGTAGAATCAGGGAAGTGTAACACCTATCCTGGCTGCGAGCGCGGACCGAAGGGACGCGTGAGCATTTTCTGTAATTTAGAAACTCTTTTGACCCCTGGGGTTCTTTGGATACTCTCGAGAAACCCAGTTTTGATTGAAGATACTTTACGAAGTTGACACATCATGTCACAGAAATAATCATAACGCATGGTAGATAGTCTCTAGCGAACACCGACCGAAGGGAGGTGTAAGCGTTGTTCTGACTAAGAAGGCCAAACTTTGCCCCCA